TGTCAAGTGCCTGCTTACAGTAATGTGGTATTAATGCTGATTCTATAGGGATATTTGTCAGTGTGTGTGGTTGGTGTCATGTTGAGGGGCAGGATGGGGACCTTTAGTGTGAATATATGTTTGAATTGTTGTAAGGTACTAATGGTATTCCTTGTTTGTTTCAGATTGGAAGTATAGCTCTGGCTTCATTACTGCAGACATGATTAAAGCATATCTCCCTCCTCCAGGCAGAGAGACTCTTATTCTGATGTGTGGGCCTCCACCTATGATTCAGTTTGCGTGTCAGCCCAATCTGGAAAAACTTGGTTATCCCAAAGATAACACATTCGCTTATTAACACTGATGCAATGCAGTACATCTCATTCACATGCAGAAATAATCCATTTGCTACAGCACTTTTAGAACAATGTAAGTTGATTGCAATTTTCATAGTCATAATTAAGGGTTTTATTGAACAGCTGAGTAGTTTTGTTCTGCCTCTGTTACCTTGAATGTTTTTAATACTGAGAGCTTAAGTAATAGTCTTTAAATATCTTCTATTAAGCAATAAGACATGGAGATGCATATCTGGCTAACTATAATATGGAGAGGGTGTTAATATACAAAGTTAAAGGCCAAATGATTCTAGCTACCCGACATTAAGTTGCCCTGAAATGTTCTGCCCTTTTTTTGCTATGAGATAAAATTTGTATCCAACGATACGGGGGGGGGAGGGGCAGGGGGAGAAATCAGTTTATTTTATTAATTATATACTTGGGTATAGCACTGACATTCAGTAGCCTACAATTGTCTTAAATTCTGAACCTATTTCCTAACTTACGTAAGGTTTGTGTGACAAGACTCTACATGTAATCCATTCATTAAAATGTGAATAAATTCATTTCTTTCCTGTATGAAAGAGGGGATAAAGAATACAGTAACTCCTCACTTAACATTGTAGTTATGTTCCTGAAAAATCCAACTTTAAGTGAAATGTTAAACAAATCCAATTTTCCCATAAGATTTAATGTAAATGTGGGGGGTTATGTTCTAAGGAAATTTTTTGGGGCAGACAAAAGGCATTATATACTGTACAGTACTGTACAGTATACTGTGGGTGGAAGGTGCCCCTGGCTTACCCCACACAGGCACAGCCCTCTGCAGAAAATGAGGCAGGCAAGGATGCTCAGAAGCACCTTGCGCAGCGGCAGCTTCCCCCCAGAAGAACAGGCGCCGACTTTGCCGGGGGATGCGCCAGGCCTGCCTCTTCCATCCCCACTCCACCTCCTCCCCGGAGCATGCCACGTCCCCACTCCTCCCCCTCCCTCCCAGCACTTCCCTGCTGCCAAACAGCTGTTTGGCCGTGCTTAGGACTTTCTTGGAGGGAGGGGGAGAAGTGGAGACACGGCCCTTCTTCACTCCCTCTCAGAAAGTCCTAAGTAGGAAGCGCTGGGAGGGAGAGGAGGTGGAGAAGAGGAACTTGTACTATGCTTCCTTGTAAAGTCTTTGCTCTTCCATAGAATCCTACAAGCAATGGACAGAGCAGGCACCCAAATGACATTATAAGGAAGCATTGCACAACTTTAAACGAGCATGTTCCCTAATGGAGCAGCGACAAAACTTCGAAACAACATTAAGCAGGAGGACGTTAAGTGAGGAGTTACGTATTTCTTAGGAGTGTGCTGCCATAAAACAGCAAAGTAGATTAAGAAATCTAGTCTGGGAAGAAATTGCAGTAGCTCAGGGACAGTGAAAGTGCATGAAGAAATTCTCATGACTGCTCATACTGTTTTGTTAAAATCTTCATTTTAGAGTGAAATTTTATCTAAAATTTAATTTTGGGGATTCAATGTTAACCTTCATGCTGAGTCATTGAATGTTATTCAGGTATATATACTCTATCATAAGCTGGTTTATTTATAAGCTGACCCCCCCTCCCAACATGGATAAGTAAAAATGGAAAATTTTTATGACCCATTCATAAGCTGACCCTATAATTCAGGGGTTGGCAAACTTTGGCTCCCGGGCCATCAGAATATGCCGCTGGTAGGCAGAGACGGTTTGTTAAACTCGAGCGTCCGCAGGCACGGAGGTAAACCTAAGTAAACAAAGTGTCCCGACATGCCAGCTGCTTACCCTGACAGGCCAGGACAGCAACTGGTGGGGAAATTTTTTAGGGGGGAGAAGCTGGGGGTCAGGGAAGTAACTCCTGTGACTACCCCCCACATGACATCCCCATCCCACCTTAGCTGGAGCGGGCCAGGGAGGATGTCTCTGGCCTGGCTGTAGCGTGCGCCAGCAGGCGGGGCCGGGTGGTGAGGCCGCAGCCTGCCAGCCCTGGAGCTTTAGCTGCTTCGGAGGCTGGGGGGAGAGACTCTGGCCTCCCCTCTTCCCTTCTGGCTCTCCTTGCTCCCTCTGTTGGGGGAGGGGCTGTGTCCCCACCTCTCCCTATCTATACCTGTTCATAAGCCGACCCCTGTCTCTGATGCTTCCCTTTTTTACTAAAAAAATTCAGCTTATCATAGAATGTCAGGGTTGGAAGGGACCTCAGGAGATCATCTAGTCCAACCTGCTGCTCAAAGCAGGACCAATCCCCAGACAGATTTTTGCCCCCCTCAAGGATTGAACTCACAACCCTGGGTTTAACAGGCCAATGCTCAAACCACTGAGCTATCCCTCCTGTTTGCCAGTACTTAGATTTCTGCTCTACAAAGAGGAATTGATTGACAGTCACTGAAAACTGCATTGCTGCCTTACATTGGACTGAACTTCAATATAAGCATCTACTGTTGTTATATGTACTGTGACTGACTCAGACCAGAAGGGATATAAGAGTAGTGGAAGGCAGGTATCTCAGCCTCAAAATGAGCAGGTCTCTGTTCCCTGGATAGCCAAACAAAGGCTACTCTAGGCCAATCAGGACACCTGATGCCACTTCAACCACTTAAGGTCGTTAAGCTAATGCCAGCACCTGACCTCAATTAACTGGCAAAGGGTCAGTTAAGGCCATTAGGCTAATGGAGACAGCTGGAACCAATTAAGGTCCCACTCATACTGCTTTAAAAGCTCTCCTTTCCAGCTCTCTTGGGAGAAGCCCAGGTGAAAGGAGCTGGAGGGGAGGAATTGCTGAAGCCTGAGGTAAGGGTGAAGCTAGGAAAAGGGGACCATGGGGAAGTGGCCCCAGGAATCAAAGCAGTGTCAGTGGTGAAGGGAAAGCTGTCAACAGCTGCTACCATTAGGGTTCCTGGCTGGAACCTGGAGTAGAGGGTGGGCCTGGGTTCCCTCCCTTCCCCCCCATGCTCTACAGAGATCCCCTTGAGAGGGGAAGCAGACTTTGGTCCAGGCAGGAGGCCAAACTGCACCTACTGAGCTCTAAGGAGCAAGAGAGACTGTGGGTATTCCACCTTCCCACCTCCCATACTGGCCTGTGATGAAAGTAGCTCAATAAGTTGTGACCTTTGTCCCTGTACTGAGAAAGGGAGGTCATATTGAGGGCCTTAGTGAGCTTCTGAGGCTACTGAATCCACCTGGAAGCGCAGGCCCCATCAATCCAGGTCCAGAGCATTGTTGCAGTACTTATGAAATACTGTTCTCTCCATGAAGTACATGTGCTGTGAGCAGTTTCAGAAGTTTGCCTCCCCCAAAAGAAAATGTTTTCACCCCTCAGCTCACAGAGAGCCCTGGTCCTTCCACACACAAGATACATGACTCATTCTATGGACCCTTAATCTTCATTGTTTTTACTATATATCTCTTCACAAACACTTTTCAGTTTGTGACTGTGCATTCACCATCTCAGGGCTGGTTTGTACGGTCTTGTGCCTTAAGCTTAGAAAGTGTGGGGCAGGGATCCTGTTTTTAATCTGTCTGACTGGAAAATTGCATTTACCTAGTAGCACTTAATGTTTTTAATCAGATGTTTGAGACCAATAAAATTTGCTCTTTATTACTGCACTGATTAAGTCTACTCAGTCCACTATCCCAATAATAGTCATAGCAAACAGATCAAAATGCTTCAGGCTTGTAGGCCAGCTGTCTTAAAAGTTGCGATGATCCCAGTGCCACTGAGGACTGAGCCCTTTTAATACCATTTCATTTTGGAGAGTCATAGTCCGGGCCCTTTGTAAAGTTTTCTTTGCTTATGTTTTTGCCAAATTATTTTCAAGAATGTGTGTTGTTATGGATTCCAGACAGCCTGGGCCAATGCTCCTTCGCTGTTATCTGGGCCAGTTGTTTTCAAGCTGGGGTATGCATACTGCTGGGGGTACAGAGAGGTCTTCCAACGGGTACAGCAACTCATCTAAATATTTTAGTTCAGGCTATGTGAAAAGCACTAGCAAAGTCACTACAAACTGAAATTTCAGAGTCAATGACTTGTTGATACTGCTCTATATACTATACCCTGAAGTGTAAGTACAATATTTATATTCCAACTTTATTTATTTTATAATTGTTTCAGTAATAGCGTGCTATGCCACTTTTGTATTTTTAGGTCTGTAAGTAGCAATTTTTAAATGAGGTGACGCTTGGGGGAACATAAGACAAATCAGACTCCCAAAAGGGGTACAGCAGTCTGGAAAGGTTGAGAGCCTCTCAGCTAGGCTGTGCAGCTCAGAATCATCATCTTCCCTGGGAAGTGGCAAACATATAGCTGGCTTTAACTGGTGCACTGTTCACCAGCCTGCACTATGGCTTCCCTCATTCCCTGGCTGCAAGCTGGACTGCAGAGATGAAATCCTGGCCCCACTGATGTCCATGGCAAAACTTCAATAGACTTTTCTGAGGCTAGGATTCTGTCCTAGAGGAGATTTACTTGCTCTTGGTGTGTCTTCTCTTAAGGTGTCTTTTGAACCTGTCAATTTCCCCCTCTTGTCCATTCTACATCTGTTTATTTTTAGAAAAAAACACTAAGAAATAGAACACTGCATATTTACTCATTATGATAGCAATTACTTATTAACATTTTAAAATTGTTGTATTCTCATCATTTAGCTTTATAGCACTTAAAGAATTCTCACTCATTTTGAGGGTGAAATTTATAACCTTTATGAAATGCAAAAGAATTGACTAAATAGATTTTTACACTTATGTATGACGCTTAGCTGTTATGGAGCATTTTTCCAGCCATAGACTTTTTCTCAAAGTGAGTATGCCCATTGAATAGATACAATAGAATAGAAACAAACACTCCGAGGTTAATAGAAATACCCAAGCATTCAGCAAGTCACTGGCAGAAATGGGAATAGAACCCAGGTATTCTGACTTCATCAGTATTCTAGCCACATTGCCTCTCTGGGTGGAGATGTATTTTATATAAAATCCCTACCCAGTACTCTGGGCATGGTACAAGTACCCTGTCTTGAACTGTTGAAGAGCAAATGGGGGTGAATGAATAAACTTTAAAATTCCCCGAAGACCAGCTGCCCAGGCATATCTAAAACATACTACACAGAGTCAACCTGGAATATAGACAAACATACAGCATTTATTCATTACAGTCTGATGCCCCAAAGGTCAGCGTTTGTATATCAAATAAGATACTCTAGTATTCAAATATAAGTTAACAGAACACTTAAGTCCACAAACCAACACACTGGAACTGGATTTTTAAAAATAATAATACTTACAGTATGGCCTGCTTGAAACATCTCAGGGTGCAAAACTACCCTTCTCTGCTCTGTAAGTGTACACTGAGTCAACATTCATACAAAACAAATAAATTTAATTACACATTCACTGGCAGATTAATCTAAGGTGCACAGAGTACACTAAAATAACCCTGTATTCAAACAAACAGGGAGAATTATCAAAAGTGTTACTTAAAAATCTAACTCTGATCTCTGTTAGAGGTTGGGATTTTCAAAAGTCCTATTCACTTATCAAACAGTTCTGCTGTCTCCATACATTAAAGCTCATTTTGCACAATGGGCATAGTGGAAATTAGCTGTTAATTTCTAGCATTATAGAGATTTATACACAAACTTGTTAACTAGTCTTTAGGAGAAGTCAGTTGACCACAGTTCAAGTCTCACTTCCCCACTCGGGTCACACTCTGAAGCTTGTGCAGTAAGGGCTAGATTAGGCCATCTTTACTCTGAGTAATATCTTGCTCTTTAACTAGTCCTATTGAATAAGGGCCACCCCTTACTCATTCTGAATAGCACTTAAGTGAAAACAGCCAGACTTTAAGCTCTTTTGAAAGAGGCATGTCTGGCATTGACATACCCTTGAGAAATATTTCCGAACATGGTCTAGCATCATAACACATAAAATAAAACCTCATTGCAACCACAAGGGATGAGAGATAACCAGTAACCCACCCTCAGACAGTGTTTAATTCAAGCCCATTATATATATTCCAAAATAAAATCTCTGTTTCAACACCTAGTCAAGATTGTTTTTGGAATTGCCCAGTACAAAATATCCTGCTGGTACTGTGGTAGTGAATGTGTATGTGGGGAGTCAACACTGTAGCCCCACTCCTGGGGGACCCCTGTTGAGGCCCATACAGCCCTGTCAGTCTATCTGGCTGACAGCTGAAGAGAAACCTTAAGGTAGAAGGGTTGTTAGGCAGCATTACATGGAAGGAGGCCTTGCAGGCATAACATCTAGCTTTTACTTGCAGCAAGCAGGACTGCCAGGTACCTCCAGCTCCAGGGGCAGCCCTCACTGGTTTGGTATGTCTGCACTGGAGCTGGAGGTATAACTTCCAGTTTGAGGAGACAATACCAAGATGGGAGGGGTTGAGGTTTGGAGGACAGGATTAGAATTCAAAATGATATTGACAACCTGAAGAAATGGTTTGAAATAGGATGAAATGTAATAAGTGCAAAGTACTACTCTTAGGCAGGAATAATCAGTTGCACAAAAACAAAATGGAAAAGGACTTGCTACGAAGGACTACTGCAGAAAAGGATCTGGGGGTTTATAGTGGATCACTAGCTGTGGGTCAACAATATAATACTGTTTCAAAAAAAGCAAACAATTCTGGGATGTATTAGCTGGAGTCTCATAAGCAAGACAGGAGAAGTAATTCCTTCTTCTCTATTTAGCACTGGAGTATTATTGTGTCCAGTTCTGGGTACAGGGTACTACACTCCAGGAAAGATTGGAGAAAGTCCAGAGGAGAGCAACAAAAGCAATTAAAGGTCTAGGAAACATGACCTAAGAGGAAAGATTGAAAAAAAACCAGGAGAAGACTGATGAGGAACATAAGTCTTCAAATACATAAAAAGTTGTTAAATTGTTCAACTTAACCACTGAGGACACGTCGAGAAGCAATGGGCTTAACTGAAACAAAGGAGATTTAGGTTAGACATGAGAAACTTCCTAATTGTAAGGTTGTGTAAGAATAGGAACAAAGTATCTGGGGAAGTTGTGGAATCTGTCTAAGCTGTTCTTAAAAACCTCCAATGACGACAAACACCTGTGAGGGATGGTATTTAGTCCTGCCCCAGTACAGTGGACTGGACTAGATGACCTCTCAAGTGTCTTTCCAGTCCTATATTTTTGTGATTCTATACCTGGATGATAATCAGGTCTCCAGAAAAGAACTGCACCACTACGTTTATGTCCTATTGGAGATGATAAAACATTCATCATTTGCCCTTCCTTAGATGCAATGCAAGGGAGAGTCAATCTCTCGTTATATTTCATCATTTAATTTCCTTTGGAGCAGAACACTTCTGGATACATTGCAACACATCCTGAGATATGTAGCTCAAGTTTCTCTCTCAGCTATGCTAGCACGATGCCACTAAAATCTGTGGAGCTGCAGAGCTGATGTGGCCAATCTATACTCAGCAATAAGCTATACTAACACCAGTTAATGGCAGCAGCACTACCTAGCATTTCCTAACTAGCGACCCTTTGAATGTCACACTGGCTAGAGTTGTTTGCTACAGTTACATTAGGATAGTGCTCTACATAAGCACATATAGGAGGCTGGAATGAAGAGCGAACAGTTAAGGGAAAAGTGTAACTGCAGTAACTGTCTTTAAAAAAAAAAAATTTCACATGCAAATATTACAACTTGTTTCTAACCACATCTCAGTCATGCCAGTATGTGGAATCTATATATATTTACATTGCTTATAGTATGCTGAATGCAATTCAGGAAGCAAAGAGTCTTAGAGCAAAGGGGTTGGAGTTTATCACTTCCTCATGGTTTTCTAACCATCTGTGCTAAGTTTCACACTACATGTTAAACTGTGCTTTGTAGCTCTAGTCATTTTGACTCAAAATTCAGCGGCGCTTACTGAAATGTTCCAGTTGTACAAGGAACTTTCATCAGTCATAAGGCAAACCATGTACTGGGCTAAAAGTTCTATTGCACTCACCTTGAGGTATCTGTAGCGAGGGTGGTATGCACCATTTTGGTATTTTAAATGTGCATTTTAAGTTAAATGAATTTTCTGCCTGTTCCACAACCACTAACACACAAAGTGCTTTGTGTCATGTGTTAGTCATTTTCTAAGAAAAGCCAACTTTTAGGTCTCTGTTTCCTTTGCAGTCTCAAACTGAAGATGGGATTGTGGGATTTCCTGCTGTGAGCAAATTTCTCATTGCAGAGAGAGCAGAGTAAGGATCTGCATGCTCTCTGCTGGCCTGTCTAAGAACACACCCACCTGCTAGGGCTTCAAGAAGGGGGAAAGGTGATCTGTCCTCTCTCTTCATCCCAATGATATAATCAGGATAGAGAAAGCAGAGACAAGGAGAGGTGCAGAGGAAGGAAGAAAGAATGAGGGATGAAGTCTCTTCCTCTCTTTAGGGAGTCTCAAAATCCTAAAGCCAATTCTATCTCTAAATCAGACCAGCTTTTTCAGCAATGGTTCACTGAACAACTGTCTGCACCAGTGTCTGTCAGATCCCAAGATAGCATCTGCTGCACCATGAATCATATGGCATGATAGAAAGTCACTGGAATTGTCAAAGTATCATCCTCGCCACTATCATTTAATATGAAGAGGACCCTTATTCTGTGACAGAGGCATATTCTACTTATGTTATCGCTACATTGCAAGTTAATTATAAAAGTACAAAATTATAAAACAGATAATTTAGCAGGTAACAGTGCATAAATCCACTGTACAAAGTCATCCTAAATCTGTAAAGAAATCTTTTACTAGTCTTAATCATTTTCCAATTTTACCCTCTCTGGATGATGAGGAATAATTTTGCATAGCTTTTCTTAATGCCCATGTAAAAATACCTAACACAGAGCACAGGGGTATTTTTACGTGTAAGGTGTTGCTGCATAAACCTCATATATATTTTACACTTCTCAGTGGCAGAAACGCCTAAGCTATTTTCTGCATATAGCACCCAGCTTTCATCAGCCAGCTCTCTGGATACATGTGAGGTATAACAATGTTCTTGGTCATGTTCATCATCTCCAGTCTTCAAAGGTAGGTGTTAAAAATCTGCTGTCATTCAGCATTTCATCTTGGCTTAGCATATCCTGAAAGTAAACCGTATGAAGACAAGTCAGAAGTATGTTCAGTTAGATGTGTATAGCAATGCAAAGCAATCCAACTGTAATTAGATCTGATTCATTACAGCAGGAATTTACCATCTTGATGTAGCTGATTTGATTATATAAATATTTAAGGAATTACAGGTCACCTGATTATATGTAACACAGTGGGATGATCAGCATCAATGAATCTCACAGATGGGTGACATAGTGAATAAATACTTTCACATTACATGACCATAAATCAGCTGCACCAATGCAGCCATTAATTGTACACATTATGTGATCTATGTATTGGATACAGAATCAAATCCATACTGCTTCAGTCAAGTGAACTCTAAGGGAGCAGGGACAGCAATTACTTGCAAAATGTTGGAGTTACTTACTTTCAATTGGTTTTTATCAGATATAGACACTAATTTACTGTGGGCAAAGGTCACCCCTTTTCAGAGGGTGAGCAGAATCAGTGGAGACTATGCACCACTTAAGTTCAATTTAGGCCATCCACTATGAATAGAGGACTGACAACTTATTTCAAAATAAAGATTTTTGAAGTATGGAAATATAAGAAAGCTGTAAATAAGGAGTCTATAACGTGAACACTTACTCTAGAGCATTGCGGGTCCTTTAACTTTCACTGCATTCTAGCAGGATAAGTTTGACTTTACAGCAAGTATAAATTGGTACATACCGTGAGGTTGCTTATGCCTTGAGAGAGCACCCCTATTTGCATTACTGTTCCTTCTGAATGTTCCATCTGTAAAATCAGTCAGTAACTATATCAAATCAGACAGCAACTACAATTTTATCCAGAGCATGCATGTATGTAGTGCATGCATCTTTTGGAGGTGATTCTGTCTTGAGAAAAACAAAATCTCAACATAATGAATTACTAATCTTGGAAATGTGCTAACAATTCATTCTCAAAGTTATATGGAAATAAATATACATATTGTACATAACACCACAGAAAACAAGAGGAAAAATACTCATATGCCAGCATAATGCAGTGAAAATGAGGTTATGATAGGAAGATAAATTTCTGATGAGAAAAGGCATTCCTTAATCCTTTAGTAAAAATATTACACGCACTAGCAAATTTAAGAATTTATCAGTTTGCTCTCATGAATTTTAGTGCTGTGTGTTACAGTAATATTTTTCAGAAGTCAAAAGCATTCAAGATGCATTCAATAACGCATGTGATACATTCCTACTAGACAGGCAATACAAGTACTCTTCATGCTCTTACTGATTTTAAAAAGAGATATAATTTGTTTCAGCACATCCGGTGGCCTAAAATGTAAAGGGGGTTCTGTAGTAGTTCATTAAGAGTATTAATTTTTCACTGTACAAAGATGTGAGTGTACTGTGTTCACTTCCAGGTCATTTTTTCAGCTGGAATGTCATCAATTTTTTTAACATATACAAAATATTTTGTAACAGTTGCACAGTTATATTTAGTAATTTAAAATGGGGTCAGGAATGGTGGAATATTAACGTTAAATCAAATCCATACTGCTTCAGTAAAGTGAACTCTATGGGAGCAGGGGCAGCAGTTGCTTACAAAATATTGGAGTTACTTATTTTCAGTTTTTCAATTGGTTCTTATCAGATATAGACACTAATTTACTGTGGGCGAAAGTCACCCCTGTTCAGAGCAGAATCAGTGGAGACTATGCACTACTTAGATGCTGCTTTTACCTTGTAACTGGACACTTCCTTTCAGTAAACATGTCAAAGCATCAAACTACAGTACATTCACTACAGGTACTGACAGCGTTCAACTCTATTAGGATTTGGTCCTCTCTTATTTCCTTAACATAAATAAGATTAACAATACTATTTTACTTTGTAAACACTAACACAGGAGCCACTATATATGAAATATATCACCCTTTTATCGCTAAAGCACATGCTAAAACATTTTTGTTAACGGGGTCCTCTAAATAACACAGTGCAAACTTGCACAAGAAAAGACAGTGGTTAGGTAATGAGTTACTTTACAGATGAGCACAAATGATGCGTTAGGTGTAGTAAACCATGCAAATGAAAAATGAATTGTCATCAATTTTGTGATCATTCTCTTATCTGGTTTCTCACTTAGAATTATTTAATCTGGCTTCTCTCTGGAACAGTCTGAGCTAGTGTAAATTGTCATAGTTCTACGGAAGTCACTGGAGCTATGATAATTTACACCAGCAGAGGATATGCCCATGTCTGGCTCTTGTACACTACAGAAGCTCACACAAGCTCCAACAGCTCCCTTTTTCAGGGTTTGCAGTACTTTACAGACTTTGGCAGGAAGGAGGCTGGATAGAGGTTTTTATGGAAACCTCCTGTTTTTGTGTGTGTAAACTAAATTCCATTACAGAGAGAAAGTGATCACTACATATGTAAAAACAATGGAATTATTCAAAGTATTCTTTTATTGTCTAATTGATAATGTTCATGTGTTTATATGCTTAAGCATAATTATTTCATAGAGTATGTAATACATTTACGTGGTGCAAACGATGAACTCTTCAGTTAACGTCTTAAAATATACAATCCAGTTGTACTTTTGAGAATAAAATATAAATTGATACCTCTGTACAAATTAATCTGAATAAGATTTTATTACATTACAAACCACTTATAAAGATAAAATTTCTCTGTGCAGTACTCATGGATTATGTAATTAAAAGTACAAAAAATATTTGTTTCTACTATAATCCCAAATTTAACAGTCCAATATGTTAACTTTCATAGTGTAAAGGTTTGATGTACCTGAAAAAGGGCTTGAAGATGGATGGGTTTACGCTTACAAAGATAAAAATATTATTCATCTGACATTCTCAGTATAAAAGTGTCCACAGCCCAAATGTACGTTCTCAATGAGTTCATGCGGATGTAGCAGAGATTTTGTTATATGGTAACAAAAGGTTATTGGCAAGCTTTGGAATGCATGTAGAGGATGAGAGATGAGAATGACATCAATCTATTTGTCCCACCTGATCCAGTTTGTCCAATTCCCTATCAGTGAGTTGATTAAGTCCTTTGTATCCACCATAGCTCTTCTGAGTACCATTAGTTGCACCTGGACTTGTGTCCATAGGACAAATGTAATCTGTAGATTCATCAAATTTCTTTTTTCGTAGGTTTCCAAAATGTGAAAATCCAAGTTTCTTTGGCTAAAATAATGAAATATAAAGTTTTACACAAGAGAACCAATTTGTCTAACATGTACAAAATTGTAACTTCAAACTAGATTTTACATGCCAACAATGCACTAATCTTGACTGAAGTCTACAAACTAGAAAAATACAACTTTAATCATCTGTTGTATATTTCTTACTAAAGGATATAATACAGAATACTGCTGAGATTAACAACACTTGATTATCTTTGCTAGCTATACTACAGTACATTTACTAGGATAATTATGGATTCTCACAGTTAAACTTGTCAAAATAAATCAACAAGTGTGTGTGTTGTGATAGTGTTTTTTTTTTAAATCATGGTTTTCTGTATATTTGCTAATTCACAAAAGGTCTCCCCCGTCATTGGTGTGATTAAGTAGGGTTTGACCATAGCTCAGATTAACATGATATTTTCAATTGGCACCTGGGTGACTAGTTAAGTCAATTGTGCTAGTTATGTAATTTTAAGCAATAGTTCAACTATTTCATTTGGACAATTCATGTATCTAAAGTTATGCAGGTGCTTAAGTACTTCGCTGAGTCAAGGCCACAGGTGTGGGCTTCAGTACTCTGAACAAGGATGGTCTTAAGCACTTTCTTAAACTGGGGTCACAGGTAGCAAGCATAGCACTTACCTGTCTGAGAGAGACCCCATTGAAATCAATGGACTGTTTACAAAAATGAAGTCACTTGTGCATAGGTATCCACAAGATCAGGTCTACAAACAGCCCTTGCTCTATTTTTGGCTACAGTTAGAGCTGATGTATATGTTCTGCAAATCCTAACACTGTATTAGGCCATTGGGAAAAGCGCAGATTTAACAGACGTATACTTGGCATCAAACATACCGTAGGAACTCAAAAGAAGAAGATTTTTAATTTTCAACGCTATTCAATTCAGAATAATTTTTATGAAACTTGGTTAAATATTTGTTAAAACTGGGAACAGTTAATGATAAAAATGAACAATATTTTGTTTTGGATTGTGTTTCCTTTGAATAAAAGGTTATAATATTGCATGTTTATTTCTTTAGTAAATCATGATGAATTTGTGCTGAATGCTATGTATTAAGAATAACTAAAATGTAACCATAGTGGGAACTGGCCTCCCCCACTTCCCAGAGTTGGCCCCTTAGTCTGTAAGAAAAGCAAACTGAATTCACACAGTGGCATACCCGAACTTTAGCAGTGGTGGTCAGAGGTGTGTAAGCTGTAGATTCCATTATTTCTCTTTTTTCTTGTTGTGCTTCTGGCCCAATTAACACATTAAAGTTAGTGGTCAGGTGGCGTCTCAGGAGGGTCTTTTGAGGTGGAATGTTAAGAAGCATTGCCAGTGTGTCACCGTTAAAGCGAGGTTCAAGAATCTATTACGAACAACACAAAAATTATAGCTTTATGTAGACAAACCTCTACAACATACATATATACAAACATATTTTAAAAAAGTAGGTCATCCTATAATGCTGATTAAAATAATCTCTATGTTCTTAATTACGTTTCTGTCAGACACTATCAGACAAATAAATAAAAGTCTCACTCATTCTTGAGTAACTACTGTAAGTGACAGGAGTCAACTGAAAAAACTTTTCAAATGCCTTAACTAAACAATATTACGTCAGTATTTGCAGTGGTCCTTACATATAGAGAAGATAGGAAGTACTTGCACAGAAAGCAAAACAAAAACTAAAACATTTGTAAAGGCAACCCACTGCACTCAAAGTGCCCTTAGTGTAGATGTACCCTTAAGTAAAATGTATTTTAGAAACCCACAGCTGTGGTGTGGACATTCAGGATCAGCCTAGAGCGCAGGCTGGGTTGGGTTTACGAGCCTGAGGTACGCTGCTGGTTCTAACACCGTAGCCCAAGCCCAAGCCCAAGCCTGGAGACCCAGGCTCTGAGATTTGCTGCTGTGGGTTTTAAAACAGTGTAGATGTACCCTAGCTGCTTGTCATCTTAACTCCCAAGTCTAAACAATTCCTGGTTATTGGCAAAGATGCCACAGCTCAGCGACCCAGGGCAATTCTTTTTCTGTGACCAGCCTCTGTCTCACAAGTTAATTTTATTTCTTTGAACAGGTCTGGTGACGTTTTATCAATAAGTTAATAAAGTAATTTCCACTGTATAATTTCTTTTCTGTAGCCAGCACCTCCCACAGTTCTGGGCATCTGGGCTGCTCCCTCCTCTGAAGCTCAGAGATGCATAAAAGTCTTGGCACTACCCCTTCTGGCTACACCCCCTTTGCGGCAACATGTGAATGGTGGTTCTGTTGCTGCCACCTATTTTCCTCTTTTCAAGATTTTTTGGGGGAAATGGGGAGCACTGTTTTCCCTCCCTAGCCTCTCTCATCCCTGGGTTGGTTTACAGTCAGGTGACTTAACTCACCCTGAGCTCCGCTACCATGCCTCTCTGCTGGCTCCTCTGCACTGCTCCGATGTGGCAGAGCAGCCCAAAAAGCACAGGGCAAAATCTAACTGACGCCCCATCTGTGAGACAGCCTTCCCGGGCTTGGAAGACAGTGAACTGTACCCAGCCTTCTGCCCTGAACTCTGTTAGGTCCTGGGGCTATGAGTCGAAGAGGGATGTGCGGGTGACTTCAACATGGAAAAAACAGACCAGGAGTCTCTGAACAGAGCAGGGAGAGGCTCTAATGATGACAACATTGCCAGTCAGTCAACTCAGGATGCAAGTCCCAATGGGCGACTTGTGGGGGCCACAAATCTCTTCTCCCTCTTCCTTCTCTTCTTTCTCCCCCCCCTGCCCCCGCCCCCACAAGTCTTAAAGTGGGTCCTGAGTGCCCTGGGAAAAGAAATCAGGCTCAAACTATACCCTCCTTCCTAATTTGACCAGGAGGCCTCTAGTGTTATAGTCCCCTCCCCCTGCCCTGGAGGAATGGACTCAGCCAGGGAGGGCTCTAGGGGTACATCCTATGCCGTGAAACTCCCCCCAAAGCAGCAAATCTCAGAGTCTGGTTCAACTGACTTGGGCTTGTGGAGCTCACACTCTGGGCTAAAAATAGCTGTATACTTGCTCTTGCACCCAGTGTAGGGGGGAGGGTGTTAGAGCCTGGACTCCAGCCCAAGCCCGAACACCTAGATGGCTGTTGTGAGCCCCAATCAGTTGACATGGTCTCTGAGACTCACTGCCACAGGGTTTTGAACTCAGAGTTCTCTAGGCCCTAGGGACAGCTGACTGCCAAAGGTCTCACCCAATAGAGCATCTGTGCTCTCAACGCATGCAAATACATAAAGGGGAAAAAAGCACACAAGATTTATCAGGTCCTCTGACCTTTTCTCTCTCCTGTGCCTCCAACAACCCTGTAACAAAATCTGCTCCAGAACGAGATCTCTCATCTTTTAGATATGGGAGGAAGAGAACACTTCTTCAGAAGAAAGATTCTTAGGGTTCTACTCCATCTTCTTCAAAAATGCAAGGGGGAATCCAAACCATATTGACCTCAAACGGCTCAAGTGGATGGAGAGCCTGGCCTCTACTGTGTTATCCCTGTCCCAGGGGATATTCTGACTTCAGGGGATCTGGCGGGTGCACACCTCTGAAGTTCCTATCAGACCTTGTCCCCACAGATGTCTAAGGTTCTCTTACAGCAGGAAGCATTATCAGTACTGGATGCTTCCATTTGGCCTGTCCTCTGACACCAGGGTCTTTACAAAGCTGTTCGTGGTAATGCTAGCCAGGCTCAGGTTAAAGGGTATACACCTGTGTCCCCTTCCTGGACAGCTTGATCGGCGCTCCATCCCAGGCGCATAGGTTTGTTATCAATATCAAGAAAAGCTCCTTGACCTAGTCTACCAAAGCAGCTCATCTAGAAGTAGCTACAGACCCCTCAATAACAAAGATTTACCCACCTCTAAAAAGATTCCAAATATTCAAGACCTTCTCACATTGTTCCAGAGCTGCAAGAGGCCTAACATAGCACTGGACCTTCAACAACTAGGCCTCCTAGGGCTGTGCACAGGGAATCACTCCATGGGCATAATCACACATCAGGCATCTTCAAGGCTTCATCTTAAAGGTGTGGGCCACTCCCCAGAACACATGAAGGATTGCATAAAGGTCCTGCTGCTGGTGCTCAACTCCTTAAAGTGGTGGTTAGCCCAGGGCAATATCTGCAATGCTATGGCCATGTGTCTTCCAGATCCTATGGTTCTCATAATTGAGGAGCACACTTGGGAGTCCCAAACCACTTAAAGCAGCTGGAGCCCGGAGGAAACGGCTCACAGCATAAACCTCCTAAGGCTAAGAGCAGTCAAGCTGTAGCTCAGATGGTTCCAATCCAGTGTAGAGGAGAAACATGTTCTGATTCAGTCAGACAACACAACTATGGTCGTGTATGTGAACAACCAAAGTGAAACAAGGAGCCCTGACAAGTCATCCCTTCAAACCACTGATGTCAATACCAGCATTCTATTTCTCCATCAAAACTTGCTTTCTGCTAGCCATCACATCTGCCAGATGAGCATCTGAGCTGGCAGCCTTATCTATGTAGGAGCTTTACTGTGTGTTACACAAGGATAAGTCAGTGTGACTCCTGACTCTTTTATTCCTAAGCTGAACCCTTCCTTTCACACTTCTCAAGAGCTGGTCCATCCTTCACTGTCCACAGAGAAGAGGTGTGACACCTTAGATGTCAGAAAAGCTCTGAAAATCTACCCCAAACATAAAGAATCCATGAGAAGATGGGCCAGCCTATTTTTTAAGTGGAAAGAGGGCCTGGAGCTTTCAAGTCCTCCATTGCATTGTGGAGGCACACAAGCATTCAAAATTCTGTTCCTGAAAGGGGTCAGGGCACACTCCATGAGATCCCTGGCAACCTCAGGAGCAAAAAGAAATGCAGCCATCCTGGAACTTTGCAAGGAAGCCACCTGCTCAACAGCTACTACCTTTATCATCAAGCACTGTAATGTGTCCTTCCTGTCATCTGCAGAGGCTTCCTTTGGCAGAAAGGTGCTGCAGGAAGTGGCCCAGAAATAATATTGCCCTTTGAACAAATCTTGTAAATGGGGAGGGATTCCTTTCTCCCTCCCCCCCCCACTCTTCTTTTTGACCTTTTCTATAATTCTCCTTGTTCACTGCTCACTACTTTCCAAATGTCCAGAACTGTGAAGGATGCTGGGCTGCAGAATGGGAAAACATTTCTTATTGGTGATTTCCCTTTTGCTAGTAGCATCTCCCATAATTCTACCCACCTTGAATGGCTTATGAGCGAAAAGGTCAGATGTTGAGTGGAACCTTTACTATGTGACTGTTTTTTGGTCCACTGTACATAGCTGGTCTGCTTACTCTGGAGTTACTCATATTGTTATACAAGTGTTTCTAGTGTTGGAATAACTCCTTTGGTGGCAAGCAGCGGCAGAGGGTGGCATGGCCAGAGCATGCAGCACCATCAACATTAATTCCCCTGTGAGAGCTGCAGAGAGGAGGGGAGCAGCCCAGACATTCAGAATTGTGGGAGATGCTGCTAGTAGAAAGGAAATTATTGTTAAGAAATTTTCTGTTTCATGCACTCCCTGTTAGTTCAGAAGACAATGTGACATCATTTTGCTTTTTAGATTTCTAATATTTCTTTTTTCTTTACTATTTCTTATGCTGTAAAAATTAATTTACATAAAACAGACTCAATAGTTTTAAGAAGGTTGATCAGTGAGCAAACAACAACAGATTACTAGAATTAAGATATAGCCTCTTTCTGTTTTATACTTGGAAATTAAACAGAAAATGCATTTCCAAATTACCTTACCTACTTAACTACTGTAGCTAAGTTAATAATAATAAAAAAAAAAAGGAATAAAACTATGAACCCGTTCTCACAATGAGGCCACCATGAACTCCACTTCCTCGAAGGTTTGGTGCATATTCTGCCAGATCTACTGATCTAAGCCATTCCATCACTCTGTGATTGGACCACTGCACTACTTCAGAAGGTGAAATATTATTCTGTAAATAACCACAAAAAGACAATATACTACACTTCTTTACACAGATAAGTTTAGTTTATATACATATATGCACACACAATTCAGATAAGAAAACATAGTTCAATACTTGAAAAAGGCTGAGCCTCAGCTAATGAGTTTACCTTTCATGCCTGCCTAGTTATCAGTTACTATTAAGGCATTCCTCCTCCCTAACAATCAGTATTTCCTAAATTCTGAGGTAATCTGTTTTGCTCTGAGCATCTTGTGCAGCTCTCAGAAGACTTGGAGAATCTGGACCAGCTGGTGAAATGGAAAGTACATTCTATTACAGATGGAACCCTAAGAACTACTGCTTCATATAAAAGACAATATGCAGAGAATATTTATGCTGCAAAAATATTGAAATAATAATAATAATTATTAAGGTTTCCATCACTGTATTATCTAGGTACTTAATACAGAGACTAAGAGAAGAACTGACGCTTGCTGGAGAAAGGCTAAATTAGTTTATGTGCTGTTGGGAGTACTGCTTGAGAAATCAGAGTTGAGTAAATAATAAAAAAAATTCCAGTGACTTCACTCAAAAATGTTATTAAATTCTAACATAGTTGTGAATGATTTGCCAAACTTTACAGACTGGGAGAACAATGGGAAAAAAGTGGTTGAATAATTAAAAATAAATGTAAGATTCACTGAATATTTTATTTAACCAGCTCTGGGACTTACAGATGGCATATACTTATTGCCATCGTAGTCCATTTCACTTTCAGTGCAGAGTTGGTCCCAATGTGTGACCAAACAATGGGACTTCCACCTTACCCCACGGGAAACTGTTCTACAGCCAGTGTTGAGAGATCTCACACTTCAGAACTTCTTCTGGATATTTAGCCAAAATTGTCCCTTTCTCAATACATCCATTTCTTCCAGTAACACCACCTGTGCCAACCTACTTAATGCCACCTGGCTCCCTTCCACATGGGAACACAGAGGGGAACCTGCTTCCTTGGGTTTGGGCTGGTGACATGGGAGAGGATAAGCAGTAACTTTCACCATTTTCTTCTTCTGGGATGTGGAACTTCCCTGAGGAGACTCCAGAGGCAGGTATATTATACAGTTAATTTTCTTTCACGTTCACCTTTGACTAGCGTGGGATAAACAAGCACTAGTTCAGTGACACTAGACTCATAACACACAAATTTCTTCTTTACCTCATCAACTGGCCTCCTACGTAGACAATGGGGGTTGAATTGGTTGACACGCAGCACGTGAATGGCACATTTAATACTGAGATGATGCAGCTGGCTGGTGACTTTCAGAAAGAGAAGGTCATTCTGAAAGAGGAAAAGCCTGGGTAAAAGTAGCGTAGAATACCACAGCACAATGAGATTCCCTCCCCCCCCACCGACAATAAATGCTGTGACATTTGTATGTATCAAAGAAATCCAGGTTAGATTAATAGTATGCATTCCTGTTAGAAAAACAGTTGAATCTTAATAAAATTAATGTAGAATCTAGAAGACTATTGGTCTATTAAGTAGAAACATGAGATGGAATGGTTTCAGAGTAGCAGCCGTGTTAGTCTGTAGCCGCAAAAAGAACAGGAGTACTTGTGGCACCTTAGAGACTAACAAATTTATTTGAGCATAAGCTTTCGTGGGCTACAGCCCACTTCATTGGATGCATAGAATGGAACATACAGAAAGAAGATATTTATACATCCAGAGAACATGAAAAGATGGAAGTAGCCATACCAACTGTAAGAGGCCAATCAACTGAGGTGAGCTATCATCAGGAGGAAAAAAAAGCTTTTGAAGTGATAATCGAGATGACCCATAGAAGGTGTGAGGTCATCTCAATTATCACTTCAAAAATTTTTTTTTCTCCTGCTGATGATAGCTCATCTCAATTGAATCCTTTAGATTCTTTTGAATGTGAGCAAAGTCTCAAGACTAAAAGGAATATTGCTGGAAAGTTACCAGTAAAATAGTAGCTAATTCTCCCCTCTTTCCTGAATACAGTAGACTCTGCTTATTAGCAACCCCTGGGTTGACAGCAAAAAGTTGCTATTATGTGGCAGTTGCTAATAAGTGGAAGGCAGGTTTATCAGGCAGCAGCTAGGAAAGAAAGCACTGGGCAGGCCTTCCCTGTCTGAAACCCTGCAAACATGCCAGCAGGGAGGGAAGCTGCAGCCCAGATGCAGGGCCCACGGAGCTACTCGGTACCTCTCCCTGCACTCTCCTGGTATCAGGGTTCAACATGTTGAGTGCTTCCTTCCCTGCATGCAGTCCCCTGGCAAGGTGCAACACGGAGAATGCAGGGAGAGGTACTGTGCAGCTCCAACATCTGGGCTGCAGCCCCTCTCCCTGCTACTGCTCTGCCCACGGCCCCTTGCTTCCTGTGTGGGCCCTGTCTGCAGGAACGTTTGCTGGGCTGCAGCCCCAGAAGGAAGTACTGGGATGTGCTAAGCATGGCCACAGGCAGGTTTGTGAGGCTGCAACCAGAGAAGATATATCCCAGCGCTTCCTTCCCTAGCTGCAGACTCACAAACCTGTGTGCAGGGGGCTCTTTTCTTCCAAAAAAAAGTTGCTAATAAGGAGCATGCTGTTGCTAATATCTGAATCCCATTATCACTGTTGTTAATGGGATGGGACTGGTTCCTGGCAGTATGTTGCCATTAATCAGAATTTGCTAATATCAGAATTGTTTTTAAGCAGAATCTACTGTATCTACAAGATGGATGGTTCAGTAGGGTTACCATACATCCTCTTTTTCCCAGACATGTCCGGCTTTTCGGCACTCAAACCCCCATCCGGGGGGAATAGCCAAAAAGCTGAACATGTCCG